GTGTCCTCAGAACCGACAGGGAACTCCCTTTGGTGGGGGTGTTAGTTAAGCAACATCTACGAAGACACCTCACTGTGGGGAACTATGGACAACAGTTGAGATCCAATTGGTCCACACTGCCCTTTCCACCTCAGAAATCTTAAATTGGAATAATTCAGGACCCTCTTACAGGAACGACCCTGTGAGAGTGGCTGATCCAGTCATCTCCATTTGCACAGGTTGAGCAAATTTTTGGGGCCTATACACCATCTTCCTGGTGTAGATAAAAGAATACTCAACTAGAAAAGTCTAGGGATGTCTCAGGAAAAATGCATCAAGATAATCCTGCAGAGACTTTTCCCCCTCCTCAGTCTGTCCCATATGTGAGCCTAATGTCAATATTAATGAAGATGGGCTACATCTAGAGATATCAGAGTGGGACCAAAGCAAGAGTCTACAAATGGTTCAGGTACTACAAGAAAAAGTCGATGAGAATCCATCTGAAATTTTGGAATGCATCAAACAACTCTATAGGAAATATTCTGATATTTTTCCACAGCTTGTAGAAAATTTTATGATGCTGAACAAGACCTCTATTTCACAGTCCCTGACATTCAAAAGAAATTACAGAGTACCAGTGAGAGTATACGTCTGAACACCTTTCAGTTGGTGAACACTGCACACAGTGTATGTGTAAGTTGGGAATAGCTTATGCACACACAACTGTCATCTTCTTAGAACAAGGCATCAGGAAAGGAAGGCGGGGCAGGGGAGACAAGGATTTAAATGACAATCCATGTTTCTTTTGTAGAGGGATGTGCCACTGGAAATTTGATTGTCCTAGAAAGAACTGAGGGCGAAAGCTGAACATTCTGGTTGTCCAGGAACTTGCTCTTGGGAGGACCAGGGAGCCTGTGAGGCCCTGTGGCTCAGAGAGTTGATTAAATTTTCCTTTCCAGCAGTCATGTGTAAGACCACCAGTGTCTGTGTAGGGAGAGAAAGTTTTAGACTTTTCTAATGGATACTAGGGCATATTGATCAGTTTTAAACAGGCAATTACAAAAGCCTCTAGGGGAAAGATGACAGTGACCAGAATCACTGGAAACCTGTGCCATCATCATTTCCTGAAAACTCTGTAGTATACAGTAGGAGATACAGTTTTTGCTCACAAAATCCTCTAAATCCCCAATTCTCTAATACCCCTCCTTAAGCAGTGGTCTGCTTACCAAGCTGCAGGCACAGATTGTATCTTTTCCAGGATACCAACAGCTTCACCTAAACATTTCTCTGGAACATGCCTGACAGTTCTGAGACAACAGAGAGGTCTCTAAGCAGGCCTTTCCTTGGGTGGAGGATCATATTCATGGTATGGACATGCATGTAACCAAGGACGTCATGAATAGCTTGCCTGGTGAAGGTTCATCTGAAAGACAGAGCTAACTGGAAAAATGGGTGACAATATGCCATACACGAGGAGGCATTAAAAGGAACCTGCCCAGTGATTCAGAAATTCTTGAAGCATGATCTTATTGGGACTTTCCAGTCTTCCTATAATATCCTACATACTGGCAAAGAATCCCATTCTAATGCACATCTGTTTGTGCAAGATCTACAGATAATCCATTATGTTCAGTAGGCTGAATGTGCCGCTGTCAGCAACTGTATAATTTGATAGACAGTATTCCAGGACAATGTTTTCAGTATTGGAGTGAGACACTTTCTTCTGTGTTCTGGCTTACCAAGGGTTATAGTCTTTGTTTGCTATCAAGTGGTAGGGCCTAGACGCGCAGGAAAAAAAAAATCCACTACTGCCTCAGGAGTTTAAAAAATTTCCCTTATGATCTTTTGAGAAACACTAGGTCAAAATATAAAACCAAGTCTAAATAGGGTGTATTACTCCAATATATTGATGACTTGATAATTGGGAACTCTTCTCATTAATATTAGCCAGAGTCTATGTTATCTGGCCACCTGGGGAATTAAGGGGTTGGCCCAGAAGGCCCAAATCTATTGCTGGGCCATAAGTTCTTGGAGTTCTTCCTTGATCCAGAGAAAGAGAAGCCTGATTGGAGACTGAAAAAGTGAATCACATGAATGGGTGCCTTAGAAATCAAAGACAACGGAGGGGATTCTTCAGCATAGGAAGTTATTGCACAGGTTGGATCTCAGACTTCGGCTTCTTGACAAAGCCTCTATAATTAAGCCTTAAAAGGACCTAAAGGGGAAGCATTGGAATGGACACAGGAACATTCATGGGGTTGCATGGGTCACATGTGAGCATTTCTTTTGAGGTCTTAGGAAATGCCCCTCCCATCATTGACCTGTCAACAAGCAGCTATGTGAGCAAGAACTTGTAGGTGAAGTGAGAGACTGAAGCCATAGGTTACACACATCTTCGGCCAGCATAAATGAGGAAGTTGGCTTCTTTTGCTGGCCAGGGCATCAGGCAAGCAAGCTAACCAGGCTTGACATGTGCTTTATCTTTGCTATTATTTTACTTGTGACGAGGTCTCATTATATAGGGTCGCTCTGGCCTCACATTGTATAGCCAAGGCTGGCTCTGAACTGGTGTTCATCCTGCCTCTGCCTGTGGGCAAATAGCTATTATGATGCATTTGTGTGAACATGTCTTGAAAATAATGAACATTCTCTTTAATGTTTTATTTACTTTTATGTATATGAGTGTATTGTCTGCATGTATGTAAGTGCACCCATGTTGTGAAATGCCCGAGGAGGTGAGAATAGTGTCAGATCCCCTGGAACTGCAGTTAAAGACAGTTGTTAGCTGCCACGTGGGTGCTGGGAACCGAACCCGGGTCCTCTGCAAGAGCAGCCAGTGCTCTTAACCACTGAGACATCTCTCCAGCCCCTGAACACTAACTCTTAAATTAAAATCCTGGGCTGTTGCTGTTTCTGAGGTACCAAGTTGAGTCAGGTGTGGGAATACAGACTTTCCCTAGACAAAAGCTGCCAGCAGACAAGCCACTTTGTCTTTAAGAGATATCAGCATTTAAGAATTTAATTTTTGAACAAGTGCATCCAACCCACAGGGTCATTTCACAGCAGACTTTTAACCAGCAGGAAACCATGTTTTCCGTACACTAATAAATTCTCAGCATCACTGACTTTTGCTGGGTCATCAAACATCCTTACGACACATCTAATACATGCTCACCCTGTTGAATGAAATGATAAAATGCAGTGCAGCCTCTGCCTGGCTGTATCATAAGGGTCTCTGCTCTCATTCACCTTAGGGAGCTATGTGTCATCTGCACAGTGGAGCAGTGACAGTACTACCTCCATACAAGGAGTACTGACATGAACTGAGGGTCGAGTACTGTAGCACTCCAAGGGCTGGGACTGCAGGTATTTACCACTCTATCTGGGTCAGGGTATCCGTTCTTGTGGAAGGATGTTGCTGGTATCTGAAACCGGGGCACGATGTTCATATCCTCTTCCAAGGGGCTACATACCCAGCATTGGTCTTTTGATTCTTTTGACAAATCTGAGGTGTAGGAAATAAAGACAGCTCCATTCATTTGAAGAGACTCTATTTATTTTGTTAAAGTCAAGCAGGATGATTGGTTGATAGGTGGTGTCAAGCATGAAGTCTGTGCACATTTGCCATGGTGGACTGCAGGGTTCAAGTCACAAAAGCTGACCAGAATCAAGCTTTGTGTGTGTACAGAGAATTCCAAAGCTATGCCACATCTTACAAATGATAAGGACCAACCATTAGCACCAGATTGTAAGATCACTACACAGGAATGTATGTACACAAACTCTCTGGAATTCTTCAATCCCTGCTAACCAGATAGGGAACAGGCGACCAGGGAATGGACAGAGAGGCCTTAATTGTGTGAGTTTCACTAAAAGCACATTACAGCACTACATACTGTTCTCCATAACAGAAAGTCCTGAAACAACGAGCAGGGTACAGACAATTAAAATTCCACTATTCACATTTTACACACATATCATTAAAATGACCACAACACTGTTTGGGGGTGGCGGGGGGGGGAACCACAGGTAAATAGCTTGGTGTAAAATAAAAACAAAATAGTCTGAAATTCCTTGGAAGGTTTGTGGCCAGCCAGCTTCACCTTTTCTGACACAACCCACATTCGGAGCCGAAGATGAGCAGGTGGAAGGAGGAGGCTGCTGCTGTGGTAGAGTGGGGACTTCACAAGGCAGGAGGAGCTTCGTTTGATAGGAATCAACACTTTTGCAAAGGCTTTCATCTCACTGACATTGACAGCCTCCCACCAAGTCTGTCTGGTCTGTCGTACTGAAGCTTGCCCTTGTGAACTCGGCAGAACCAGGGCATTATCCTCTCCACCAAGACCTCTGGTGTCGCTCTCAGCTCTTCTGGCTCAGGAAGCGTGGATTCTGGTCTCTTAAGAAAACTATGTGGTTGAGTGTGAGCGTGTGCATGTATACACAGATGAAAGGTTGCATGCATGGGTTTGGAAGGGTGTGGTTACTGGTGAGAGAGGGAAAGGTCCACACCACCTGCAAGCTCAGGGAAAAAAGAGAATTCCTTAATCCCTTGATAGAACAAAGGCTCTAGGCATACTTAAACATCAAGTCATCCGGGGAACTTGCTCACCATTCACCATGCATTTAGTTATAGAAACATCTCTTGAACAACTACATCAGATCCACATATATTGAAAATATGTAAGTTATAACCAAGCCATTGGCGGCTGAACATTTTTTTCATGTACTTATCTACCATGCATATATCCTCTTTGGTGAAGTGTCTAGTCAAGTCTTCTGCCCACTTTTTAGCTGGGCTGTTTGTTTTCTACTATTAGCGGTTGGGAGTTCTTTACACAGATCCTTTATCAGATGCATGAAGCCATGAAGTAAGTGTGCTGGTACCTATCTCTGATTCCAGCATGTGGAAGGTGGAAGCAGGAAAATCAGGAGATCAAGGGTATCCTTGACTACATAGTGAGTTTAAAGCCAATTTGGGCTCAAAAAAAAAAAAAAAAACAAAAAACAAAAAAAACCAACCAACCAAACAAACAAACAAAAACCCCCAAAAGCCTAAACAAACAAAAAACAAACAACAAATCAAGACAGATGATTTACACCTATTTTCTCCCAGTGTCTGTCTTGTCAACTGGAAACCAAAAGGACAAGAGTGTTGTTTGAATAAGACTCCGTTTAACATCTTGCCATTTCAACTGATAAGCGGCACAGAATCTTGAAAACGTTTCTCGTGTAAGCACTAGTCACTCCACAGAACCTCTTACAAACCAGAGGACAGAGTCTTACAGTAAGTACATAGCACATGGCCCTTGTGGTACAGGTAACAGACCAAGAGGAAAGCCAAAAATTATCACTAAGGACAACATATACAGACATATTAATGTTCTGTGGAAAGCAACTTAAAAACTATTCCACAGATCTCAGGAAACAAAGATACCAAGAATATTATTAGCGGACACACTTTTAACTAAGTAATGTTACTTAGCTGGAAATTATTTAAGCTGTGATAAGGACAACAGTTATTTATATCATGTGTTTCAAAGCATGCACATGAGCTATGTGGTAATTTTAATCTGGAAAAGAATACATATAACACACAAGTTGGTCATTTAACAATTGTTTTTTAACCACCAGGAAAACACTTGTGTTTCCTATGCATTAATAACTTATCATCACTGGCTTGCCAGAGCAGAGAACGTCCTTTCATAGACATGATGGATGCTGACACTGTTGAATGAGTGAGGACAAAGCACAGAGTAGCCTGTGCCTGGCTGGGTCATAAGGGTCTCCTCTTGTGCACCTTAAGGACGCATTTGGCATCTGCACAGGGTAGGAATGACCTCTTCAAAAGACTGCTGGCAAGTTTGGGCCCAGCCATTGGCCATCCCAGGGTCGTCGCCAACCAGAAGAGCCTGGCTTCTTGTGAAGTCACTTATGATGCAAAACTCTGTTCAGGGAACCAAAAGAAATGGAAACAAAAACCCATAAAACACCAATAGGACATTATTGCTTTTCTACTAGCTTTGTGGCTCCAGAGTGTGCCTCTCTGCAGGAGATGGGCAAGTAGTCTGAGGTTCTTGCTTCTATTTCCAAGCACAGAGCTCCGAGGCTCAGTGTCCACCTTCTGAGGGGTAGGCCGCTCATTTGCCTCTCTCAGGCTGCAGGCTGTCAAACAAGCACTTGAGCTGCTCTTCACCCAGGTGGATTTTGTCTTCTAGCTCTCGCTGCTCAATGATGAGGGCAGATTTCATCTTCACGAAGTGCTCATAGTCAGCCAGGCTCTCCTCATTGAGGTAGCTGGCCAGGATGTCAAACACAATGCGCTCACGACGGTCCAGGTTCTCTTTCAGCTCTTTGGCATCCTCGTGCTGCTGGGTTAGGACTCTCTGCTTCTCCAACAGTGACTGCTGCGGAGGGGGAAAGAGATAAAAAGGAGCCTATTGACACAGGACTAAAGCGTGGACTCTGGTCGACCCTGTAAAAGCCCTGCAGCTTTGGTGGCTGGTCTCATGGCTTTCCATGGACACTCTAAGGCCAACTGTGACTCAACTGGATCTCCACAGGATCCAGGATCTCCACAGGATCTCCTTCCTTGCCTCTCCCAGAAACTACTCATGGGTCTCTCTTTGTGTCCTGGCCCTGCCTGTGCCTTTTTCTTCTTCCACCAGCCTTAAAAAAAATCAGGGTCCAGCAACTACAAGAGTTCTGAAATGCCCCAAAGAAGGAAAGGACTTGGGGATCCTGTCAGTCCCAAAATTGAAAAAGGGAACTATCATAACAAAGCTAAGCCTGGTGGCACAGGCTTGTAATCCCAGCTAGTCAGGGTGCTGAAAACAGAAGGCATACAAGTGAAAGGCCTGCCTGGGCTATAATATAAGTAAATTCAAGTCCAGCCTAGACAATATATTGACATCTAGTCTCAAAATAAAAAGACTGGGACTACAGCTCAGTGGTAGAGAGCTTGCCTAATGTGCATGAGACTGTTGGTTCAATCTCCAGTATTGGGGGGGGGGCGGAGAAGAGGAGAGAGGGAGGGATGAAGGAAGGGAAATTGGTTTCAGGGTAGCATTAAACTTCCTGACAGGAGGTGCCTCAAAGACATAAGGAACAAAGAAGGATAGAGGACAAAGTGGCATAGATGGATCGGACCCTTAATGCCTTACAGAGTCCTGTTTGGGGAGAGGGAAAGATGACTTTGTCTCTAAAAAAACAAAACTAACAATTTTCAGCTTATAAAACACACACATAGCAGAAGCCCTACTAACAGCAAGATGAAGGAAGCTAAGAAAGGAAGAGAAGAATGCATTCAATGTCTTCACACGGAAATTGGCAGAAAGATTGTGAGTGAGGAGCTGTTATCTATTACTAAACGTAGCCTGAACCAAAAACTGCCCTTACCATACTGCTTCTGTAAGATGCCCGTGACTACACAAGCTTTTGAGAGCATCCTGCCTTGTCTGAGCACTAATTTGGTCCTCAGGTCAAGGGAAACAAAGAGATAACACATTACTGGGAAAGAGGCTAGGGAAGACTAACTTACTGCACTAACAAGAAAAACAGATACTGACTGGTTCTACAAATGTAGCTCAAGTTGTTAGTCATATGGGTGCCTCAAGCTGCTGAGGTAGTGGATGGAGAGAATAGTAGGTGTTTTATGTGTTTTATTAATAAAGATGTTCAGGGGCTGGAGAGACAGCTCAGCAGTTAAGAGCAGTGGCTGCTCTTGCAGAGGATCCTCGTTTGGTTCCCAGCACCCACCCACATGGGGACTAACAATTATCCACATCTCTAGTTCCAGTGGATCTGATGCCCTCTTCTGGCATCCATGGGTATTGCATGTATATTTACATACATGCAGGCAAAACATTCATACAAAAAAAAATTGAAATTGAAAAAAACAAAAAAAGACTTGCATAGTATCCTCTGATACTATGAGAGCTAGTCTTCAGGAGGGAGACTTCCAGGACAGTTCTAGCTCAACTGCTCGAGGTTCTGTGTCTGAAGTACATCCTTTCTTCAGCAATAACTGGGAAGTGGGGAGGGTTATACAAGAAACCATGGGATTAAAGGGGAAGAAGGAACTTGAGAGAGGGGGAGAGTAGGAGACAGGTATTATCAAGGAGGAAATGGGGAAATGGGAGTACTTTAACTGGGGAGAGATGAGGGAGGGTTATACAGGGGGAGGGAGAGATAAGATAAATAATGCTTAGGTGGTATGAAAAACCAGGAGGAAAAGTATTAGTTTAAAAGCCTACTGAAAAATACATACATACATACATACATACATACATACATACATAGGCACACACATATGTATATATATATATATGGTTACATATGAATGCATGTGTATAATTGAAAGCTATATAACAAAAAAGACAGTCTAAACAGGAGAAATCTCCCCTCCAGTTGTCTGTCAACATGGTCCAAGGGATTCCCAAAATAACTCAGGCTATTGCCACTGCTCGTGATTGTCTCCCAGAACTTGAATGTAGATAAATTTTATAACATGTTTATGCTCATTCACAAATACTTTCATAGAACATAAATTCCAAAAACACTGTCTAAAGTGGTTGCTTCCTTTACTACAGAAAACTTTGCCCTGTTTCTCTGCTCGTCACAGGGATGGAATCTCTGTTGTACATGAAAAACAAGGACTCAACCAAAGAGATACAGCCTTAGCACTGAACTAAAGTAATCAACTCTTTTGATAGAAAATGCTTTCAGTATAACAAATTAGGGCAAGACTGTTTTCCTCTTACAACTTTTCGAGAGCACGTGGCAGTAACTGCTTGTATATTCCTACTTTGGTGTGGAAATTAACTTGCATGCTTGTGTTGACTTCCAAAGCCCTTTACAACAGAAATGACAGCTGTTGACAACTACTTTGGAGAGATAGGAAGAAAGACTCGAAAAGTTGTTTGAGATACATTAGTCATCAAGTTTCCCTTTATCTTTCTGCATAACAAACAGACTAAAAACAGTTCTTTCTCGATCTTAATTCTGAAGCGTCTTCTGGTAGCACAGCTGTCCCTTTTCCCTGGGTACTGCTGTCAGCAGCCTTCATTATTTGGATGTAATGTGTCCAACCTCTAACTGTCAAAGAAATCTGTCTTCATGCCTAGTTTTTTTTTTTTTTTAATCCAGGCTTCACATCTCAGAAAGTGTACCTGTTTGGGTCATTAGTAAGAAATCACTTCTTATACAAAGATTTATGTGTGCACAGTGAATAGGAACATTTGTAATAATTTTGACATAGTCTACAATTCAAAAATAAGTAGATAAATGTAATTAGTCAAATAATGAAAAATATCTTCTTAAAAGAAGTCAGAATTACAGTTAAAGAACTTTATATTGACCCTTGCTGACTCAATTAGACAAGGGCCCAGTGTAGAGTGAGGGAAATGGGAGGCAGGCTGGCCCTAGCCTGGGAACTCTTGGCAATTGATAACTGCTGGGTAAGGGAGACTAGATATTCTTTAAGATTTCTAGATAGGCCAACTAGACTCCAAGGAATAAGCTTGCACTGGGTCCCAGTGGGGCGGAGGGGTGTAGGGCATGGATAGGGAAAGGGGTCTAAATTTAATTAAGTGTATGAAATGCACAAAAACTCAATAAAAGATATTTTTTTTAAAAAACAAATATGTTCATTTTGAAGGTTCATTATGTGCAAAGAATGTATTAAGATGTTTGACTGAAACTTGATCTAAATTTTGACCTAAGAAGGAAAGACAGCAAAGAAGGAATTTCTCTTTCTTAAATGTAACAAAACTGAAGCCCAGCATGGTGGCGCATGTCTGTCATGCCTCCATTCCCTGCATTTCATTAGCTTGTTCTGCCTGTAGATCGAAACAACCAAGACAGTGGATCATAAACATTTCAAAACCTCAGCAAGTAGACAGGCCATGCACAGACAGTGTAATGCTTTCCAGAGCTGACTTCTCAGCACTTTAAGGACAGCCTTCCTGAAGGAGCATCCTCTCCCCTCCCTATTTCCCAGACAGATGTGCTTGTAGGTACCCGATCTCCAGGAGAAGGACTCTCATCCAAATTATTGAGGGCATTTTCGACCCGGGCCAGGCGGCCTGATAATGACAGCAGGAGGTTCACCACTTTGTCCAGGTCCCCGATGAACATTCGGAACTTGTCAAACTCATTGGGCTTGCAGACATCTTTCACGATGGCTTCCACCTCATCCCCAAGAGCATTGTTTGCCTGGATGTCTTCCAGCAGGCTCTCACGGGCTTCACGGAGCACTTGCAGTTTGCGGCCGATGCTGTCAATAAGCTCTTGCTGTAGGGGAACAGGAAGGATGGGGGTATTCATTAGGATGGTCCTGATCTGGTACACTAATTTAGTGCAGAAAAAACACACAGAGCCAGGGCAGAATTCAGCCAGTTCGAGTGAGTTAGTCTTTGCATCATCAAATGTTGGGGGATTTGTAAAACCAGTAGACAGGGAGATCCTCCTGGTTAAATTGTATATATATATAGGTCAGAGAGGTAGTGCAGCCAGTAAAGGTGCTTGCTGCCAAGCTTGATGACCTGAGTTCAATGTCCACAAACCACATGGTGGAAGGAGAAAACTGACTCCCATGGATTGTACTCTTGACCTCACACACACGTGCTGCAGCATCCATGTAAACACACACACACACACACACACACACTAAATAAATGTAAAAAAATTAAATTGTAACTTATTGTGTATGTAAAATCTTAATGTGTACATAAAAATGTATTAAAAATAAAACAGGGCTGCTGTGTAGCTCAGTGATAGACTGTTTTCCTAGCATGCCTGAGGTCCCGGAGCCCTCTCTACCATCCCCAAATAAATAAATGAATCATGAAAGAAAGCCAGGTTGAGTGGCACATGCCTTTAGCCTCAGCATTTGGGAGACAAGAGGCACAAGGGTGATGAAACTCCAGTCTTATCCAGGCTACACAGGGAGATGGAGATGCTGTGTCACAAGACAAAAACAAAGTGAAATAAAACAAATTCTTGTTCTTTGAATGCTGTATTACAATAGAGCTAGCCAAGTTTGGCCCACAGTAGATACTATTTCAATCTCTGCATTTGTAAGGATTCAGAGAATCTATGTGGTACTATGTGCTCTAGCTTTTGGAAATATTCAAATTAAAGACATATACAGAGAAATGACAGTTGACCCCTGTCCTTAAGCACATCATTACCATCTATTTTTTTTTAATTTTTAAAGTTCTGTGTGTGTGTGTGTGTGTGTGTGTGTGTGTGTGTGTGACTACAGGCACATGTGTGCCATACTATACATGTACAAGTCAGAAGCCAACTCTCAGGACTTGGTTTTCTCCTGCCACCTTGTGGGATCCAGGGATCCTACTCAGTTCCTTAGGCCTGCATGCAAACACTTCTACCTGCTGAGGCATCTCCCTTACGTATCCCAGGGCAGTTGTGATTGTCCCAAGGAAACCTTCAACAAGGTCAGACATGTTAACTTTCTCACACAGAAGGAAGGGATCATAGGGAATGGGGAGGGTCAGTAGACCCTCTCCAGAGAGATTCCAGCCTCTCTTTCCTGCACCTGTCCCAGCTCTAGGCAATACTGCCCTCAATGCATGTATCTTGATGACTATGGACTATGGCAGGTTAATGCAAGGAGGGAGGGGCCTCCATCTATGCAGTTATAAGGAAGTTGTCATCCATGCTGGGGTGAGAGTTTTCAGTGATGTGGCTGTTTTGGGGTCACTTGTACTTTTACAAATAAGTGAAGCAGTATTCAATATAGAACTTGAACCCAGACCTTACCTATTCTAGTTAGCCAATTTACTCTAGGTGGTCCTCTATCTCGGCCTCCTGGTGCTGGGATTACAGGTAGGCTGCCATACCTGCCTGGCATTTACATGGGTGCTGGGGATCTGAACTCCAGTCATCATGCCTGCACGAGTATGTTACCCCTTGAGCCAGCTCCTTAGGCTAAAACATTAATTTTGAAAGATCAAGAGTAAAAATAAAATGTAGAGTTATGTGTTGTGGTTGAGGCCCGATCTTAGCATTTGGGTGGCTGAGGCAGGAGGACTGCCAGCCTGTGTTATATATAGAGTACTAGGCTACCCAAGGATATACAGAAAAATCCTGTCTCAAAAAATAAGATAAAAAAATGCATAGCTGAGTATGGTAATATATGCCTAACTTGACTACTTGGGAGCCTGAGGGAGGAGGACTGCAAATTCTAGGATTGCCTTATCCATGGAGGGTGCTCAAGCCAGTCTGAGGTACATAGTAAAACTCTGATGAAAATTCAAAAAGAAATAATCATTTAAAGAGGGGTCTGTGGAGATGGAGCTGTGTGTAAAGGGCTGTGCAAGAACGCATTAAACACGCAGTGAGCTTCCTGCCTCCGCTTCTAATATGCTGGGATTACAAGCCTATTCCAGCATACCTCACTCCCCTGTCTTCACTGTAGGTCCATTACTAAGTTCAGACTTTGGTTTTGATGGAGTTGGGAGCAAGACCTGGCACAGAGCAGTACTCGGATGAATAGCTAACTCTCAGCACCACACGTGGTGAAGTTGTCAGTGCTGTGTGTCACATTTCCCAGTGTGCCTACCCTCTTACAAGATTCTTGCAAATGCAGCATTCCAGAGGCCAGGATGAGAATGTTAGCAGTTTCCAAGTTCATACTGCCTCTCATTCCTCAATTTGCAGGGGCCAAGGCAAGAGGAGGCTTAGAAAAATGGCAGTTAGAGCTCTGAGCAGGTCCCTTCCAATCACCTGTCTTTGGTTCCACTCTAGCCTTGTCTCTTTGCTCCCTAAACCCATGTCTTTGTTCCACACAAAAATCAGAGTTCTCGAAGGCTGGGAATCTAAACAAATGTACTACTTCTGGTTTTCCTGAGGAATCCGTCGAACTCAAATTGTGCAGAGCCTACCTGAGCTGCCGTAGGATTAAAGGTCTAGTTAACGCTTCTGGCTGGGCCCCCAGAATACCTACTGAATGCCTGTGTGGGGAAGTCTGGGTTCTGCTCCCTCACATCTTGTTCCCCAATCTTCCAAATCAAATAGTTCCAACGTTTCATCTTTGGGTTGATGACCATGTTGTGACACTATGATAGGGACAGCTAAGGTCCCTCTGAGAATGCTGGATCCATGTATACTGTACTTTGTGTATGTTCCCTAGAATTTCTATGTTGGAAACTTAATCTCTGAATCCACATATTGGTGGAATGTGGAGGTCAGGCATTGGGAGGTAGTTAAGATCACATAAAGTCATGAGTATAGGCCCCTTCAGAATGGTATCAATAGCTTCATAAAGAGATGAAGAGGTATCCAAGTTAGCACACTAGCTCTCTCTTCCAACATGACACCCTCCATCTTGCTATGACACAGCAAGAAGGCTCTTACCAGATGCCCACACTTGGATATTGGGCATTCTCAGGGCTCACCCCTGACATCACTCTGGGTCTCTGTTCAGTCATGCTCTTAGAGCTTTCTCTATAATCAGAGATTTATCTCTTTCTGTCCCTTTACCCTGTTCCAATTGTCTAATACTTGATGCAGTATAGTAAGGGTTGGCAAACTTTCTATCAGGGGCTAGAGAATAAATATTTTATACTTTGCAGGCTTACTATCATACCTACTTAACTATGAAGCCATAGTTAATAATCAATATGTAAATGAACGGGTGCGGCTGTGTTTCAAAAAACCTCTATTTACAAAAACAGGTATAGGGCTAGGTTTGCCAAGCTTATGTTGGACATCTGATTTTGTAGTGACCATTTCCAATTCCTCTAAGAACAGAAGCTCTCCTACAGTGGGCTCTTTATTCTGCCTACAGTTGGATCCTCAAAGGCCTTGTGAAAGCTCAGAATAGAATTAAGCATGAAAGGCTTAATTAGGTTAAACTATGTCTTACATGGAAGGCAAATGCAAACACTCTCAGAGATACAGCACAGTGTCTCTGGTGGTGTGACAAATGAGTGGTCTTAGCACCTCCCACTGACCCAGCATGCAATTTTAAGGGAAGTGTTTTTTTGTTGTTGTTGTTTCTTTTTTTTGTTTTGTTTTGGGTTTTTTTTTTTCTTTTATTTTCTGAGAAAGGATCTCACAATGAAGCCCAGGCTGACCTTGAACTTATTGTGTAGCACAGATTAACTCAAACTCGCCCCCCTCCTGCCTTAGCCCCCTTAGTGCTGGGATTATGGGCATGTACCACCATGCCCAGAAGGCAGGGCTTTTTGGAGTTCTTGTTACTTGTTTGCTTAAAGGAAGGTCTTGCTGTGTTGCCCACCCCCTCCAGAACTCCTGCCTTTACATGAGTGATCCTCCTGCCTCAGCCTCATGAGTGGCTGGGAGTTGGAAGTACCATGTTATGCTCTAACGTCTGCGTCTCCTATGGAATCCCACCTTCTTACCTTCTTGACAGATAGGTCATGGTCCAAGTCACCTCCTGAATACTCCTCGGGCTCCTGCAGGTCCTTCATCTTGATGAGCAGCTCTGCCTTGGGGGCTGATGTGCTGTAGTAGGTGGAATTGGTAGCCAGGGACACAACTCCTGGCACGCCTGGCTCCTGCTTCCTGGGTGAAGAGGCCAGAACAGCACTTAGCATGACACATGCACAAGTACTCTTTGGACCTGATTCCTGGCTCGTGACAAATACAAGATGGCACTGACAGAAGGACAAGAGCCAGGGACATGAGACAGTCAATGGGAAGAAAGAAGGTTAAGTTAAAAAAATTTTGAAAACAAACGAACTTTCCATACGAATAGTCTTAAAGTCCACAGACCGTCATTTGTTGCTTCTGTTGTTCTGCGGTGATGCGGATGGAAACATGGGCCTTGCTCATGTTAGGTAAGTGCTCTAACACCCAGTTGCACCCCTCAACCCAGGAAGATAGACTTTAAAAACTTTTTAAAGCTTTATTTCCTATTTTTATTCATATGTATATGCCACTTCGGCGAGGGTTCCCTGGGATGCCAGACTAAGGTCCAGTTCCCTGCAGCGGCAATTACACCTGGGTGTGAGCCACCTGACCCGGATGCTGGGAAATGAACTTGGATCCTCTAGAAGAGCAGCCAGCATTTTTAACCACTGAATCATCTCTCCAGTCCCAGAAACAGTTTTTAATGAAACTAGAATAACTTGGAACAACTAAAAAACTCCTCTCTGACACAGGTCACGGTTCTACGGCACACGTTTGCTGCCTAGATATGAGGTCACCAAAGAGGAAGATGAAAACATGTGACACCACCAATGTTTCCAATAAGCAGTGCCACTATTGGGTAAGATGTGCTATGTCTCTACTTCCCTGATGACTTTCAGGGACATATTACCCTTCTGCTACTAAGCAATGCTTGTGGGGACAAGCTGCAAGGATGGATATCACCACACACACAGTTATGGTCAAGTCACTCAAAGGGAGATGCCTGGAAGTGGTATTTACAAAACTAAGTTTATTCAGAGATGTTAATAATTTCATTTTTGTGGGAGTGGGAGGTATTCTGGGGCTTGAACCCAGAGTTTTGCACATGCTATGCAAGCATTCTTTCACTGAGACTTTTTTAGACTTTTTTAAATATATATTAAGGAAGAGTCTCATTAAGCTGCCTAGGCTGGCCTTAAACTCATACTGAAGCCCAGGCAAGCTTTAAATTCTCAATCCTCCTGCTTCAGCCTCCAGAGAAGCTGAGGTTATAGGATTGTGTCACCAGGCCCAGCAAATGTTGACAAATTCTTAAAATTCTGTCTTATAATAAACTGCACACATTCATTTTGACTTTTACCCCTTTAACACTGGGTATCTTCTATACTACTCACCTTCAGGTCTGGACCTTTGTGTGTATGTGTGTTTGAGGTGGGATGTCCTGTGCACTGTCAGACCTTGATGAGAACCTCGTGGCTCTACCTACTAGATGCCAGTAGCACTTCCCCAGATGTAAAAGCACAAATATCTTCAGACAATGTCACATGTCTCCCATAGAAGCAAAATTCCTCTTTCCCACCCCACCAGGAAAAACTGTCATTGGCAATGCATCAAATTCCAGATGCAAAATATGAAGAACTGTAGAATACCCAGAGGTTTGTTTAGCTGTAATTTCTTTTTTTAAAATTTGTTTCCCTTTGTTCCCTCCATCCCTTCCTTCCTTTCTTCTGAAGTGCTGGGGATTAAATCAAGGCCTTAAATGTGCTAGGGAAATGCTCTACCTCTGAGATGCATGCTCAGCCTCTAGGTGACTGAAATTTAAAAAACAAAACCAACCTTAACATTTTTAAGACTACAGGCAGGATTTGTGATGTGCTTCAAAAATAGGCAAAAGACAGGTAGGTAGACAAAAGATACACATATTAAATACATATAAGGATTACATGATAGCGGTATAAATCCACAGAAGATAAACAGGTAGCCAAGTGTGGTGGTGGGTGGTGTATTTGTGTAATACCAGCACTCAGGAACCTAAGGCAGGAAGATCTTTAGTTCAAAGCTAGTCCAGGCAACTTAGCAAAACCCTTCCTCAAAACAAAATAAAATGGGCTTGGAGTGTAGCTCAGTGTCAAAAAAACTTGCCTAGTTTACTTGAGGGCCTGGGTTCTAGCACACCATAGCAAAAAAAGAAAAAGAAAGAAGAAAGAAAGAAAGAAAAAGAAAGAAAGGAAGGAAAAAACAACAGGAAAAAGAAAGATAGGCAGGTGGGGAGGCAAACACCTGTAATCCTAGTGTTCAGGATGTTCAGGCAGGAGGATTAAGTTGAAGGCAACATGAGATTTATAGAGAGACCCTAACTCAAAAAGAAAAATGGATGGATGGATGGATGGATGGATGGATGGATGGAGAGACAAATGAACGAATGGATGGATGAGTAGGTAGCTGGGTGGGTGGATGGATAAACAAATGGATAGACATAGGACATATCCAGAGCTAGATTACATGATAGATGAGAGAAAGGAGAATGTATGGACAATCAGTCTCACACTAATGGAGGATTTCTCAGCACTAACACTAACAACATCTGGGGCTGGATCCTCCCCTGTGGTGAGGCTGTCTTATGCACCCTAAAAGCTTTAGCAACACTGTTTTCTTTCCACTAGATGTCAGGAGTGTCCCATTCTCCAGTGTGACAGACAAAGCTATCAAGCACATTGCTAATGGTCCTTGGAGAAGACCAGAGCTCACACTAAGAACCTCTGTCAGGGGGAAAGGAGACCTCTGGGTGACGTCGTATTCATGCCAGCTGTAAGCTGAGGGTCTTAGCTTCTGCAGCATGTATCATCATGTCTCAGCCAGGGCCCACGCAACCACATCCAGGCACAGTGCTTTTAACCCTTGGCAAAAAAAGTGTTATGCATTGGAAGCCCCTAGAAAAACCTGCCTTCCTCCAAAAGTGACAATGACATTGATACACGGGTATGCCCCTCTGCCTCTCCTTGCCCTTTAAACCTGAGATAGGGGCAAGGACCTGGCAGGCACCGGATGGCCTGTGCCATTTACTCACTTGTCCTCTTTGGTTCTGGGTGAGGGTACTTTGGGCAGAAGCTTCCTCCGCTGCTGAGCTTCCTCCAGGAGGTACTCATCTTTGGGGAAGATCCCCTCCATCAGATCCATGGTGGTTTTGATCTTCACGCTGGGGTCTAGGATGTCAGCCAGCGACTTGTCCTTTCCCACAATCTCCCTGGCTAGCTCTTCTGACTTCAAGTCGTCCATGGTCTTCTCCTTGGCCTTCCCATAGCTGAGGGAGGGAGGGGAGGCACAGCCCTCTCTGACGGGGGGTGCAGGGGCACTGGGAGGCTGGGGCTCTGGGGGCCGGGCTCTATGCGGAGCTTCAGTCTCCTGTCGTGTGTACACACAGAAGCGGGAGTAGCACTGCTCTGATGTGCTCAGAGTCTTGATCTGGTCTTTCTCCAACCCACTGGGCAGTGCAGGGAGCTCAGTTGGGCGTGCCAGACTCTGGCGGCTCTCCTTCTCAGGCTGGCTCTCTGAATGCACGATTTTGATGGGCACCATCTTCACAGTGGTGTTGTTGTCCATCACCCGCTCAATTCTGCAAAGACAGGGCCCTCCTCTGAAATCCTGACATGCACAGATTCCCACCCACGACTCACACAGGGAGACCGACACAAAGACTCACTGTCAACCAGCCAAGCGGAAGGACGAGGCAGAGGTTGGAAACTGTTCTCATTTGAAACCTGACATGGTCTCCAGATGCCTAGCATTCCGACCCAAACTCTGTCACACACCTATAGGCATCTGAGGGAGAGGACTTAAATGAAAGGAGGGCTGTTTGACATTCATTCATTTTCTTTTGTTAAGGAATTGGGCATTGAACTGAAAGCTTTGGACTGGGAAGGCAAGTGTTCTATCACTTCAGCTACAGTTACATGCCTTACTTATTTGTTTTTATTCTAATGATACTGCAAAGGTATCGAGTCCAACTTGTTAAACTTCGTTTTGTAGGAGAAACCAGGTGTGAGCAGAATTACCTCATCTGTCAAAGCAGGTGGCCCTCCGTGTCCCTGGAAGACTTCTATAGGGACTGGCTGTGTGTGGAATCATTGATAAGCACCTCCACCGTGACGTTTCCTCACATGCACTGCATCCCACGTTCCATGTGCCTCCCACCTACTAACACCTCAAGTTACCCTTGCAAAGACATATGTCACTGTGAAGGAGACTCTGCTGTACACAGGTAATTCACTTCTTCTGTATTACTCTCAGTAATTCACACAGGGCACTTTAAAAAATAAAAATAAAAAAACTGTTTCTAGCCAAGCATGGTAGCTCATGCCTGTAATCTCAGCACTTGGAGGCCAAGGGAGGAGAACTGCTGAATTTGTGGGGAGCCTCTGATAGATAGTAAAAATGAGTCTCCGAAAAGAAAACTAGCAGATAGGGCCGTTGGGTGGTTAGATCTTGAAAGTGAGACCTCATGAACAGTATTCCTGTCCTTATAAAAGAGATCTTGGAGAGCTTCCTGTCCCCTGTGTCTACCATGTGGAGACACAGGAAGAAGGTGCCATCTACAAACCAGGAAACAATTCTTACCAGACAGTGAATCTGCCACACCTTGACCTTGGGCTTCCAGCCTCTATAGTCATGAGCAAGCCATTTCTGTTATTTCTAAGCCACTCAGCCAGTGGGATTCTATTAAGGGAGAAACTACCAGACTAAAACTCTTTCTGGACCCCCAACAATGCTGTCAATTGAAAGATAATTAAATGTTACCATTTAAGATAGAAAACACAGCTGTGGCACACATGTAAACCTGTGGTTTCAACATCACTGGCAGAGATATAACAGCATCAACTATGTCTTTTTAAAAATTATTTTATAGTGTTTGAAAATTTCATACATGCATACATAAAGTAATTTGATCAAATCTGACTCATATTCCTTTCCCTATAATTCCTTCCATATTCTCCCCACCATTATTTCCTCCCAACGTCACGTACGCCTTTTTTCCCTTAAATCCACTGAGTCCGCTTAGTGCTGCTATGGGCATGGGCATGGGCATGGGGCCTCTCGGGGGCCACATCCCTAAAGAAAACTCCCTCTCCCTTTCCCAGAAACCATCAATTGCCAATAGCTTGTCGGAAAGGGGTGGGACATTATGATCCCCTCTCCCTCATTCAGGCTGGGATTTTGTCTGGCTTGACCTTATGTATGTGGTCACAGTCTTTCTGAGCTCATGTGCTCAACTGCCCTTCCCTGTCTGGAAAACACTGTGTCACTGTAGTCATCCAGTAGCTCTGGCTTTTACAGTCTTTTTGTCCCTCTCCCATGGTGATCCCTAAGCCTTGACAGAAAAAGGTGTGACACAGACTTCCATTTAGGGCTGAGAATGCCAGTCTCATATTCTCTGTGCCTTGACCAGTTGTGGATCTCTGTTAATCCCCATGTATTGCAAAAAGAAGTTTCCCTGATGAAGGTTGAGAGATGCACTAATATATGGGTGTAAAGATAAGTACCTCGGGGGTGATTTAACACTGTTAACTTAGCAGAATAGTAGTAGGCCCTCCCGTAGAGCCTAAAACCTAACCAGCCATGGGTTCTTGGTTCCATTAATGTTATCAGGCATGACTTGCCTTGTGGAGTGGTACTTGAATCCATATCAGAAAGTGGTTGGTTACACTCCCTTAACATTTGTGCCAGTATTGCACCAGTGGGCATATCTTGCCAGGATACTCAATACTGTAGCTCATGGGGTTCACAGCTGGGTAAGGCTGTTGAATACTCCCTCTGTATCATGCATATCACTTTCCAGCACTATCAAAGCTAGCTAGTAGGGATGAAACTCCCAGGTCAGTGCCAGCTTGGTTTCTCCATGTTATGACTCAACTGTGTGGTCTCTTCAGCAATAGGGTTGTTTTTATTGTTGCTGTTGTTTTAATTTTATGTGTATGAGTGTTTGCCTGCATGTATGTAAGTGCACCATTTGCATGCAATACCCATGGAGATCACAAGAGACCATCAGATCCCCTAGAACTGGAGTAACGTGTGAGTGCTGTGAACTGAACCCAGATCCTCTGCAAGAGCAGCCAGTACTCTTAACTGATGAGCCACCTCTCTAGGCCCTTTTGGTTTTTGTTTGTTTGTTTGTTTTGACACAGTGTCTTACTATGTAGCCCTGGTTGTGCTAGAACTTGATATACAGACCAAGCTGGCCTCAAACTCACAGAGATCTGCCGGCCTCCGCCTCCCAAGTACTGGGATTAAAGACATGTGCCACCATGTCCAGTTCAGGAATAGGGTCTTACCATCAAGTTCTGGAGGCTAACTAAGAGCACAATAGTCTGTAATATTTTAGGGGTTTATGGAACTTCACCGACAAGCAACTTGAAAAGAGGTAATTCATTCCTGGCACTGGTATTTTTAGTAGAGCTATTCTTACATTAAAAAAAAAAAGTTCAAGGGGCTGGGGATGTAGCTTAGTTGACAGAGTTCTTGGCTAGCATGTGCAAAGCTCTGGGATCCAATCCCAGGACTGCATAAACTGGGTGTGATGGTGCATTCATAAGTGTTTAAGGACAGCCTAGGCTACAGAGTGAATTCAAGGCCAACCTGAGCCACATATCAAGAACCTATCTCAAAAGACCAAATGGGGAGGTAGGGCATCATAGACAAAGAGAGTAAGAATTTTAAAGAGGATGAAAATCGTAGACATCATGAAACATTACCTAAAGATCTTATACTTAGGCCGAATTGGATTTTGATCATAAACATGTAATGCACTGGCAAAACATGCCTAGCCTGCTCTTGTCAGGGAACAAGGCAAACAGAAATGCATTCAGCTCAAGTTCAAAGGTCCGTGATGCCACTAAATTCCAACTGGTCATTTGGGCTGTGGCTTGTCCTCTACACAATTTACCTTGCCCAACTTTTAGCCCAATATTTGAAGCTTAAGTAAGGTTCCAGCTACAACGCTGAAGACTGCCTGTATTGATGGAAATGGAATGACACAGCACACTGTCACAGGAACATACCTTGCTGAGTTTTCTTCATGGATAAGCAGGGGAGGCTTGTCTGTTAGCTTCTGTGGGGCAAACTGAGGCGAAGGGGAGCGAGAGGTTTCCATGGTGGAAATCTGAAGATGGCGGCACTTAGAAGGGAGCAGGGCTTCTAGCTGAGAACAAGACGTGTCCTCATTCACATGCTGGCTCTCTTGTGGCTGGGTACTGCTGAGCTCAGAGGGGCCGTGAGAGTGGGACAGGAAGGTCACACACACATCCAGAGACTCCGCAGCTGGAGCTGGGAAGGACCTGCTGGGGACAGTTAGGTGAGCATCCACAGGTGCGCTATCCTGTCCCCGGTATTTCCTGGGCTCGAGCTTAGGCAGTGGAGGCCTCTGAGGTGGGGCTGGCTTCTTAGGGAGTAGGACTGTGCTCACGGGCCTTGAGGTGTGTTCCTGAGCAGGTGGAGGTGAAAGGGGACCCTGGGCTTGGGGTCCTGAGTCTGCTGGTGTGCTCTCCTCCGAGTGCCTATAATCTCGAGGTACAGTCCCTGCTCGGTCCAGGCCCTCCCGTGGAGGCTCTGGGGCTTCCTGAGAGTGGGACAATTCAGGCAATGTGGACAGAGTTGGTGGGTTCTGATTCAGAAGGTCCTGAAATGTTTCTGGACTGACTTCCTGGCAGTGGGCATCTGCTTGTCTAGAGGAAGACAGAATAAAAATTAGGTAAGTATTCTAGTTAGGACGTTCTCCTTGCATGTGAACAAATACATATTCTCAACACTCTCCATAAGATTACTTTAAGGACTTAAAACCCTACACATTTTCCCACACCTGTCCCCAATGCCATTTGTGGCATGTGGTAACAATATGTAACATGTGTTAAAAAATATTAGCCCATATAGGGTACATGAAGCATTAACGAATGACACAGACACACAGATCAGAAACTCATGTATATACCAACTCTATTCCTTTAAAAGCAACACTGGAAAATAGAAAAAATATTATTTTTTGTGAAAATTGTCAGCTCCAACTATTTTTAGGACTATTTATTTCAAGTTGAAGTACTTTTATGTGGGGTATGGAAAACACATATGTACAAAGGGGCACTTTTCTAAAATGGGCCAAGGATCAATTCAGCCATAACACCTTTAAAATTAATTGCTCATTATGACAAGTAAGAGAAGAAAATGTATTTCTTTGGGGAACAGCTATGACTTACAGAGTTTTCTATTATACTATCATGTCACATAGACATGCATATACATACATAAACATGTCTGTGACACACATACACAGAGGCTGGTCCAGATGCACAATTATTCACCAAAGCCCATGAACTGACCAATGTCAAACTTGCAACAATTCAATGTGCAGCACCACTGCCAGTCCCAAGAGAAAGACAAGCTTCTAGTTTAAGGAAAAGATGAATTCTCAGTCTACAGTTGATGTCTGAGCTAGAGCTCGTATTTCAACCTGTCATCCCAGCATTTGGGACATTGGGGCAGGAGGATTACGTCCAGTTCAAAGGTCAGTCTAGCCTACAGCATGAGATAGATCTTGTCTTAAAAGCAAACAAACAAAAAGTTGGCCTTTGAGGGCCACAGTATATGTAGCTTAGTGATAGAACCTTTGTCTGGTATGTGCAAGGCGCTAAGTTTGATCGATAGGTTGGATGGTGGGGGTTGGAGAGAACACCACCAAGAAAATATCTTTAATTGGTTACTGATCCAAACAAAGGCAGCATATGTAAACACAATGAGATAATAACCTAGTCAAGTGCCAAGTTGAAGAGACCCAGAGTACTTGCGATACACCTGCTTCTGATCTTATTATAACCTGGATATGATGCATAAATATCAAGGTGCTACAGGTGGGACCTGCAACACTGGCAATCCAACGTCCTGCTCTACGGAGGTTAACCTTGCTGTGTCCTGGGGAGAGGGAGAGGAATGTCCCTTCTTGGATCAACAGATACTCTAGAGTAGAGCATAGCCCACAGCTAATGCCTCCCTGAAAAGAGACAACTCTTACTACCCAAGAACCACAAGTTGACATCCTCAGTGTCCCAAAGACACAGCAACCACTATACCACTGAGCTATGGCCAGTCTAGCAACTGTTGATCTCTAGTCTCTGATCCCAGGCTAAAGTGCTCTGAAGACCTACCCAGAAACTGAAGAGAACTCACTTGACAGAGGTGTCTTCACTGTTGGTAAATAACGACTCAGGGCAAAAGCCATGCTAAGAACCCATGCCTTGAGCTGGTTCCTGCCTCTCTCCTGGCCAGATGACAGCCCAAGCTCCTTCTCAGCTTACTAAAGGGACATCCCATGTGGGATATTTGCAGAGCAGTGTATGCTGCATACTCACTTGTCATGCTAGAAGTTTACATTTATCTTTATTGACACTACAATCAACACAGCCATTTCTGGACCAAGTGTATCCCCTACAATCCCTCTTCCCCCCCTTTTTTTTTCTTGACTCTTCCCAACTCCAAACTTACAGAGCCAAATCTATAAAACCACTAACTGGTTTTAACTGTCCCAGTTAGTAAGAATTCAATAAATCAGGTCACAGACATACACATGGGAAAAATGACCAAAATATGGCAATTTGGAGTTCTGTTGGAGATCATACTGAAATTTTTGTTTCTAATAGGTTCCAAGGGACTATGTAAAATGTTGGCAAAGAGGCTATGTCTATGTTGTGTTTGAGTGCAGACATATATTTGTATATAGAGATGTTGTACATGTTTATATGCTATGTATGCATACTGCTTGTACAGATGTCTATGTATTCTGTACACATATGCCAGTGGTGTGTATATAGCATTTGTATATATGTACTACGTGTCCATATTGTGTTGTATGTTATACATGTAGATGTGAGGCTGTGTATATGTGGCTATATTGTATATGTAGATCCCCTACTTTGTACTTTTTTTCTGAGTCAGGGTCTTGTGCTGTAGCCTATGCTGGCCTCAAACAAACCATCTTCATGCCTCAGCCTCCCAACTGCTGGAATTACAGGCATGCACCACTATTGGCCTTTTTGTGGGGAAGGGTACTGGAAATTCAACCTAGGGCCTTGTGTGTGCTAACATGTGCTCACACTGAGCTATAACCCTAGCCTTCTACTTTATTTTATGACAGGTTTTCCCTAAGTTGCTCAAGTTGTCCTTGAACTCATTTTGTAGCCCAGGTACGTCTTACACCTGTGATCTTTCTGCCTCAGCCTCTTGAGTAACTGAGGTTACATATCAGACTCGTCCCTTCTTTGAACTTAAGAAAAAAGATGAATGACAACAGGCCTGTAATCCTGTAATCCCAGCACTTGTGAGGCAGAGATAGAAGGATAGAAGGAGATCAGGACTTCTGTCTAGGTCACTGGTTGCAAAATGACTTCAAGGATAGCCAGGGAGAGAGGGATAGGGGAGGGAGGGAGGAAAGGAAGAGAAGGAAGGGAAGGGGAGGGAAGGAGGAGAGAGGGACGAAAGATAGATATGATGGCGATAGATATGATGGCATGTTCACAGAGAGAAAAAAACAAGACAGTGAGGTAACCAAGGACTTTGTGTCCCTGTGTCAGTAGCACAGAGCAATACTGCATCAGGGAGGTGAGCCACATGAAGAAAGGTTCCAAGGGCAGCAGCATTCCAAAGTCCAAGCAACTGGTATTCAAGCTGGGTAGGATATTCATTCTCATACAAAATGTGCTAATAACAATTTGCTGAGGGGGGCATCAGTTCTAAGAAGGGGGAAAAGCCCTGGCAGACTTCAGACAGCAGAGCTCCCAGAGACCTGCAAGGGGTGCTCACAGCAAGCAGTGCTCACTGGAGCAGCCACTGAAGGGATCAGGTGCTAAATGGTAGAGAACAGGACTACAAAGCGAAACAAAACTCAACTAAAGAGGACAAGTATATGGCAAGAGTCACCTCAAATATGCTACTGTACTGCCTGCTACTTGGAAGACAACAATTATTGAGATCAGGCTGGGCCCTGTCCTAATTTACTCTATATTGTGTAAACTGTGGATGTTCAGGCTATGCTTTGCCGTAAGAGACTCTGTGGGACCCAAGTTCAGCTCCCAGAACTTATATATAGTGGATTACTGTAACTCCTGTTCCAGAGGGTGATGTCACCTCTAGCCTCCAAGGGCATTGTACATACCCACATACAGACACATACACATAAATAAAACTGTAAACATTTTTTTAGTCACATCAGGAAAAACAGGGCCAAGAACTTACTGCATAAAACAGAGTAAAGCAAGGGAGCAATACTCTCACCCCATAAAAAAAGGCTGGCCTGATCTATATAGTGAGTTTCAGGACAGCTGGGGCTACAGGGAGACCCTGCTTCAAAAAGACGAAAAAAAAAAAAAAAAGAAACGAAAAACAGCAATGGGACGCACCACCCTATACTTT